GAACTAAAGAGGTAAACAATATCACTTTTTTTATATTTTTATATATATACATACACTATGTAAGTGCTATCATTTATCTAACAACAGAGAGGTAAACATGTAATAATGTATATGCAAATAGGAAAAACTGAATCTTCATTTCATCTAGGAGTAAGCAAGTACTGTCTTTTGGAAGTGATGCTGTTTGAAAATACGACATGTAGCAAGTATTGTATTTATTTATATGTGACAAGAAAATTGAATCGTGCTTTGGCTATTTGTTGATAATGCAAATTGTACAGCCATCAAATTGAGATAATTATTACTATGTCTCTTTTCCAACTGTGTGCTTAATTAAGAAGACCCAGTAAGACCTAATTAGCAACAATGTAATTTTTAAAATCCAATTTAGTTGCTCAGAGATTACAAAAATTGAAAATAACATGTTCCACTTTGCTATTATTAATTTTTTGAGATACCAATTTAAATTTTGTACCACAATAAGGTTAGCGCATGAGAATAATTTACCACACATCAATACCATGCAACATGTGGAAAACAGTTCAAGTATTAGATTGCCACCGATACTCGGATGCCTTGACAATGGCCATTTAAAAACATTCGGCTGACAATTTTGACTACGTTTTCACTTTTCCTGTTTCTAATTAGAATAAAGGGAATAAGTCTTCACTGAACAAACAAGACTTATTCATCAGAGTATTTATGGACTATCAAAGCATAACAAACCTAAGTGCCATCACACTTGATGAGACAAAAGATTTGTTCAGTTGACAGCACAGTGAACAAAGTCACAAAAAAGGGAATTTGCATGGTAGTTTTTTCTGTTTGTTTGCTCCTGGCATTATTATTATGTTTTCATTCTCCTCTCAGAAACAGATCCCACAAGATATTGTGATGGATCTGAGGTGGCCTCCTCAATTTTCCACTTGCAAGGCCAAATACTCCACCTAAAAAAATATCTGAAATAAAACCCTGGCACCAGCTTAGCTCCTTTGGCTGAATATTGCCAATTACTAGGATCACTCCAGTATGTTCTACTCCTGAGCTTTGCTGTAGCTTGTTCTTATCCAGCTTGATGACCTTTTGGGGGTCATTTATTTTTGCTACATTACAACTTCCAGGATTTCTACAAGCAGCATCGATTCAGCAATGTGTTTATTTCCAGTATAGCCTCAAAACATTGAGGCACTTATAGTAGGCATATGGATCTATAGTTTTCTGCCTTTCAATATACAGATATTCAAACAGTTTATCCCAGCAGTATGTAAGTCCTATGATGCCACTATTATTCACTACACATAGAAAATGAACTTTTCAGTCTACATGCTAAGTTTTCTTAACTTCTGCTCTTCTAACTCTGGGAAGAAATAGCATCAATTATTATGTTGTTTTGACATCACCTACTAAGTTAAAACTTAAAAAGCTCTTCAGGCATTTGAAGTACTTTTTGCAAGAAGACCTGACTACTGCCTGACCACAAGACCAACATCTGCATCACCTTCATTTGAAGTATCACTCAGGCTGCTATTTGCGTGCCTGATACCATCATGCTTGAGAACTGATCTTACTGTTCCTTTTCTTCTTGCTTTGATGTCTGTCAAAGTATTCAGTGTCTTCAAGTGCCATTGTTCTGACAAGCAGACCCTCCCAATGGACTTGTACTATATACTGTGACTCCCAGAACTGCTATTATTTGAGCTGGAGTCAGATTGATTTTCTTTCTGTTCACGATAGTGCTATGATCTTGCAGGGCTGAAATTACTGCTGATTTATGCCTTGATGCAACCCCTTGAGAACTGACTTGTACCAGCATGTCACCTATGAAAAGGTACATCTGAATCCTCAGGGATCTTTCTAGTGGAACCTTTGTTCTCATTTCAATAGAGAATCCTTTGTAAAGGATGTTTGCTAGAAATTTCTCCTGCAAGTACCGTGAGTCTTCTGTAGTGCAAACTGCAAGTATATTATGCATCTATCCATTTTTACCAGTCTGTGGAAGCCTTCTTGGCAGAGATTAATTTAAGGTAAATTTTCCATCCACAGCCCTATGGTTTTCACAAATTTATTATACCATTTTCTTTAGCACTGCATAAAGAGTGCAGGTTGTGCTGGCACTGAAGAGGGAGAATATTCCCCAGATTTATGTATAAAGGCTCACCTACACAAGGAACTGTAACGACTAAAAACATACAATTATACCTTTGTTGTATTTGGGGAATAACAGCCTTTTATGTCAGAGCCTTCTTTTATTTGGACTTTAGAACAGGAAATAATTTCCTCTATTAAGTGTTATTCACATTTTTGCATATTCTGCCTATTAGCATCATGGACAATTTTTGCACTCTCATTACAAGTAGCCTCTTCCCTGCATCTTCGTGAATGATTTTATCGTAACATATAGCACTTCTTCTGCAAAAATACACTAACAGGTAGGCACTGACTTTACATTTAAACAAGTCTAACATGGTAAATTGCAATTGCATTCTTGCCTGGTTTTAAAATCAGCCTCTGAAATCTTATTTTTTTGTCCCTCTTTCCCCCATTGGTAGAGCTAATTTAGATAAGCTGATTACTTTCTTCTCATGTATGCTTTCCCTGATAGTGGAAGAGAGAAAATGGAGTTTCAGCCAAACAAATTTAGACAGAGGTTGAAGGTTGAACATGAGTTTGTTCAATTAGGTATGAAAAAAAGCCAAGAACTACAGTAACTGCTCTGAAGCACACACAAGGTTTGAAGTATTAAAAAATAAATAAATAACCCCCCCAAAAACAAACCAAACAAACAAAAAAAACAAACCCAAAACCAGTTCCTTAATGGAAAATAAACATTTCTATTAAAAAATATTTCTGAAAAACAAGCAGTTGTGGTATTTAATAAACCATTACTATAGAAAGCACCTTCTCATTAGGACCTCTTAACAGTCCTAGACAGGATCAAAACCATCTCAATGAGGAGTTATTGACCAATTCCTCAATTCCTGTTTCCCCGGGTCTTTCAGTGCAAGCACTTCTGATACAGATATTGTCCTTTCTTCTAATTTAGGCACCACTATCAAGAGTAGTCTTTTCACAAACAGTACAAAACAGATGAAGCAGGCAAATTTTTTGGAAACCAATATTCTGCAATAACCAATTTCAGTTCAAAAGTAGATGAGAGTTTGCTGCAACTCATTTTTCCCAATAAACAGGAAACTAAGCGGAGGTATCCAAGAAATCAAGTGCTCCTACTCTCCTGTTGAGCTGCTGGAAGGAAGATGAACCACCAGAAAGACATCAATAGCCTCTATCCCCAGCGACTACCAAGGGAGACCAAGACAACTACAACCCTACCCTGTGTACAGTCAGGAGAAATGAAACTGTGCCAGTTAATTTTTTTGGAACAGGTCTCAAAACTCTCAGCTACTTAAGCCCTTATATCATATATTTAATACATTACTATTGCGATGACCACCCTGATAAAGCACTTGTCAAGAATACATTCTCCTTAGCACTCGTGCAATGACTCCATTTAGCTCAGCTCCCTTTCTTCATCTGAAAAATCACAGCAAGAAGAAAGAGGAGGTTGAAACTGAAATATGTGGCTCTTGTCTGTTGCTTTTAAGGCTATGTGTATATACACACACTCCTATAGTAGCTGCATTTGAAAAAAAAAAAAAAAATCAGAATCATTATCCCCGCCTTAGTATTAGGATGTTCTGTTGTCTTGGTGAATCATTTTTCCCCAGGGACTTTGTGAGGATAACAATTCCACTCATGCTAATTCTATTTACATTGGGAGCACTGTAGCACACATTTAATGTGAAGCTGTGTTTCTTTCATAAGCAAGAAAAATGTCACTTTCTTTTCCCAAAGTACCAAAAGGTTCCTTTTACTGTCACAGAACACAATTATATGTTAGGGCTCTGCTATCTCTTTCTAAACAAGAAGGCAAGAAATGACCTTCCTTTAACCTATGGCTGAATTGCATTATACTTGGTTCAGTGGACATCCTTTTTTATACTCTTCCTTACTAAGTGCCTCCTTATTGAGGTTATGAGGCTGGCATCTGCCTTTCAATTCTGCTAGGGATTTCATTTTTTCCAAAAAACTTGCTTTCATTTGCAGAGGGCCATTAACTCTCACCCCATAGTTTCAAACCCTGGTTTGTTACATTTGTATGCACCTGAAAACACGCAAAGCTGCAAGCAGCCTTTGCCAGCAGAACTGGTCACTGGCGGCTGCATTTTGCCCCACCACACAATCATGTAAAAGGTCAGGAAGAAATATGCCCTGCACACTTACTCACTCCAGGTCATGCTGTCTTGTGTAAAATAACCGCTTTGCAGCAGACCCCATATCCCCCCTCCATTCTGTGCAGTAATCTGCATGTCTGGTCTTGTTTTATGGACAGCATGGTAATGAAAAGACTGAGCACAGGTATCTCAACTGTGCTTTGCTTTATATGAACAAGACGCTTGGGGAAGCAGAAAAACGTAGCTGTGATGTTAGTGAAGCCACTGCTGATCTGCACAACAGAGCAAGCCAGTGTTGGAGGATTTCTAAATGACGAACATCGTTCCTGAAGAAAGTGACACTATAAATCTGCAACAGAGTATTATATTTTAAAAATAAGTTCAGAGGCAAAAGAACACGCAAATCATTACTTACACACATAGATTAGCTCACAAGTAGCCACATCAATAAGCTTCCTAGAAGGCATCTGGCATCACTGTTGATCTGGAGAGAATTCTAAATATTTCAGTGCATTTAGGTGTTCAGGAGTTTCAATGTTTGGCAATTAACTATGTGGAAAGAAGGTTTCTATAAACTGTTAACTAAAGATGACTCAAATCAATATCTCATCTGCCTAAGAAGGAAAGTTGTGTAGCTTAAAGACACCTTCCTAAATGCTACTATTTTCCCAGCACATTGTTTGTTACATTAGCACTGAAGGCATTAGTAACATGGAGGTAAAATTGGACTATAGGCATGAAAGGAGACAGACTAGAAACGTGCATTACGTTGATCTTGTGAAGAACACTGCTCTCTTAAATGCTTAAATCTGAGCTTCTGCTATTACATTACACTGAAAAGAAATGGAAAGTGCCAAACATTCAAAATAAAATAAAATAGTAATTTCTTCTGTTGCACAGAAAAAGAAATCTTTGGTTGAAGACTAGCTGAAGGCCTTTATATACATCTAGAAGCACTTCATGCCCAAGTGACTGTCAGCATGTGAAATACGTCTGGGGCTACGCCTGCATTAAGAGATACCAGTCCTATATACTTCTGAGAGGACAAAGCTACTGTTTAGTGAAAATACTGTGCAAAATTGTCTAAACAATTGTTTACATATATTGATTGCTCCAACACCCCTGTGGTAATCTGTCAAGGTGAATTTTTTTGGAAGCCAATACTGGCTTTGGAATTCACTGTGAACTAAATATAGGATCTCATTACCAATAATATAAAAAAAGAGCTGAGAAATAACTGCACTAATTCCTCTGAAGATGACCAAAGAAAATAGAGGCTTCACATGCACCTACAGTAGCCTGTATAATTATGGATCCAAAGTGCATTGTTCAGGATAAACCAAAAATCCCAACCCAACCAACCCACCCAAACTAAAGGAAATGCAGAATGCAATCATTTGGCTAAAAGCAGAAGTCTGTATATACTACTAGAACACAAGTTCCAACACATGCTCACTTTCTAAGCATCTAGCTTTCAAATGGTCATATTTGTTTATGGCTTTTACAAACAAATATATATGTTTAGGCTTCAAATGTACTGCAAGTAGAAGGGTTTTAAACTAATTTTTATTTGCTACAAAAACCACAGAAATTCCTCCAACACGCAAAATCTACTTATATTTTTGTATCTTACCCTTATAAAATTACAAGGGAAAAGAAATGTGCAGTCTAAACTATAAACATTAACATAAAATTCGCTATTAAAACGGTCATTAGATGGCCTATTCCTCATTTCAGCTCCAACAATTCTCAAACACATTATTAACAGACTTTCAGCTAAGTTTTAATCAGGACTGGAGACCTAATCACAAATAAATAAATAAATATCAAACTCTTATTCTTACTCCTACATACAATCCTTACAACAGTCAACTTTGAATCACATGTGGTAAAGATGCTGCCAGAAAACCAAGGATAGAAAAGCACCTGCACTGTTTTGCAGGTGTTTTTCTGGGAACAGGAGGAATCTGGTCCCAGGGTGACATCCCAGCTGGAACACTTGGAAGGGAAAATAATTATTCTTCCAGTGGCTTCAGCTGATCTATATATTTAGGCAACAGAACATTGAATGGGTCTGACAGAGTGCCATTTTAACAAAAAGAAGGAAACAGTCAACTTGTTATTGGAAATAGCTGAAAAGTTGAAGGAAGGAAAAAAATTACCATCAGTAGACTGAGAAAAGAGACTTAGTTTCTTTTTCTGCAATTAATGAAATATAAAAAAAAAAGAAAAAAAAAGTTAAACTTTAGCTACACTAAGCTTTATGTAACAGATCCTGCCGCCTAGTAATACAACTACACCACTCAATCGATTTAAATAAACTTAAGGATGAGCACGCATGGAGAACTGGACCAAGGATTCCAGGGCTCACCAGATCAGTTTCAAGATACTGCTACCTCTAATACCAAGATGGCCAGTGAGCTGCTTGTGTCAGAACACACAGGTGTTTCTATTTAAATTCTTGGCCCCTTAATTAATACTTTGAGTTCACCTTTAATTCCTAAAGCATTCATTATTCTTGAACTCTTCCATTTCAATTGATCTTCCAGGTCAGTTCAGTAGTCCAGGTATTTTCTTCTTACTGAAACAAGCAGCTCATTCTACATTTGAAAAGTCATGCCTCGACAACACATCGATCTGGGACTCTCTGTGAAACCTGAATTCTTAAAACTACTGAGAATAAAGCATGATTTCCCTCTAGCTCATCAAACCTTTTTTGTTAAGTCAAACGACAGTAGTCTTGTAAAATGTTGCAAAGTAAAAAGGTCTTTTGTTCTTTAAAGTGACAATCCTACTTAAGTTTCTCACTTAAATACAGCATCTAGGAAGTTAGTAGGTGTTCAAACCATTGTAACGCTGGTACCTTAGCAAAACAGACAAAAGAATAAACAACCCTCCACTTCAGCAGGGGACAGGACTTTTTGTATATTAAAGAAAAAACACAAGGAAAATGTGGTTGTACTAACCAAGCAGTTGGAAACACAGCAGTTGGAACTGTGAATGCTTTCTTACTTCATAGTTTCATAATTTATTACTGGAAAAATGAGCTCATTAAGATTCCAAATTTACAAGTTACACAATTAAGGACATCCTCAATATTATCCCTAAATAATATTTCGAATATGAGCAAATACAGTGAAATTGCAGGACTTGCCATACCCACCACCTGATTGATTATGAAAGTTTGAAATACCTTTTTTTTTTTCCTGCGGTGGGAACTTGCATTTTCCTAAAATCTGCATTTCTTCTGTAAATCCACATGCATTCCTCTAAATCTCGATGGGCATTACACTGACGCACAGTGGCATAAATGAGTTCAGACTCCAACTTAATGCATTTAGCAATGTAATCCTGTGATTTGCTCTTTGAAGTTCAAATAAAAGCACTAAAGAGAGCCATTGCAAAAGCACTGGGAGAAATACTAAAAAAAAAAAAAGTGTCTTATTAGCATCTTGAGAGGGTCCCTTTTACAACCACAGATGTTTGGAGGCTGAGCTACTTCAATAATTTGGCTTTAAACCATCTTAAGCCGTATTACAGTCCAAAAGCAATTCAGATAACAAACTGTATTAGGTGAGTTTGGAATTAAAAAAAATCCCCCTTTATCTATTCAGAACAAGGGAAGTAAAAGACAAGTTAGTATTTTAGTGAAAGTGTGTATCATCCAAAATGTTAAAAAAGTGAGTTAGGAATTCATTACTTTTTTTGGGTAACATCCAAATGTTGGTGCACACAGATCCCAAATTAATCAGTTGACCAAAACACCAAGTAAATTTATCTCCCTGATGAGTTCAAACACAAAAGGAAACATGAGGAATTGAATTCTTATAGCATAAATATCTTGGCTGAAATGTGGAATGTAATAAACATTATCATATTTACTGGAAGTTAAAGATTTAAATTAATGAGCGCCATGTGTTTATCTACCAAATTTCAACTTACTAATCTAGTCTGATTATCATTTTCCAAGTCAAATGTTTATAAGAAATGATCAATAAATGTTTAATAATTATCAAATGCCTTTTTACATCAAAACAAGAAACCCAAATATAACACAAAATACATTTTCATTACCACATAAAAATGGAAAATAGATCTGCTAGGAATACTGGCGCTCCTAATTAAAAATAATCCTTTGGTGTAAATGTATTGCCTGCATTGACAGGATAAGAAAGCATTTAGTCATCTGTGTGGCTAACTTTAAAAGTATTAGTTGAGATTTTAGCTAATGGATACTCATTCTCATATCATAAATTTAATCTCTAAACTTCAATAACAAATACATTTGTGAAAAGTTAACTGGATTGCTTAAGAATCGTGTAAAAAATGAAGCATTCTGCGCATGAGAAGTATCCTGCTCAGGAAACACAGACTGAGAAAAATCAATGACAACAGAACATGCAGAAATCTATCACTACTGATTCGCACTGACAAGAACAGTAACATCAGGATATTGGGACTGCACAGCCTGAACCACATGGTACTTTGCATCAGGTCCATATTATTCCAAGAACATAACTAAAGAAACAAAGAACAGGCCTCCTAAATGTCAGGTTTTCCAGTTGAACATCCAGTCCTCTACACTGCTAACCAATAAAAGATTATTTCTGTTTGAGTAACATTTATCAGTGAACTCCTGAGTCAGTTTAGATTTCGTAATTCAGAGGTTTTTTTAGCAGGATTAGGTTGATCTCTGAAGAGATGCACAGATTCCCAAGAAGTTAAGGTCTCCCAGATTTAAAATAAATAAATAAATCCAAGGTAATCATTAGAAACAGACTAATCAGATTAAGGTTGTGAACTCTGGACTACCACAGCATTTTCCAGCAGCTCAGTAATCTTAATCCACAAGTGGATAATACAATACAAAGCATTTCATCAAATATTCCCTTGCAAGACTCTAAACCTATCATTTTCATAAAGGAAACAAATATCTTTCTAAGTCTAGTAAGAGATTTAAACAAGACCTTTAAGCAAGCTATCAGGGGCTACAATTGTTGCCATGTTAATCCTTTTTTTCAAAACAAACATATTTCTTCGCATGTTCAAATTCACTGTCATTTGAAATAAGATAAACAATATTTCAATAGGAATAGAATGACTTCTCTTCTTACAGCAACTTCCTGTACTAGCAGTTAACTGAAACCCCCAAATTTCAGAACCACTCCTCTTCTACAGGCAGCCTTTTTCTCCAATATTCTCTGCTCCCTTCTATGGTTATTCTTTCATCCTGAAGATGCCACAAATCCTTTCCTCCCACTTCACAGAAAGGTTCCCTGTTTGTCAGACTGCGGATACCATAACAAGGTCTGGACATAGCTCAGCTAAAGGTCTGAAGATTAATAATGATACAATTTTGTTTTTGAAAAGTATGTACATGAAATGTCATCTCTCACATGTTACTATGTATACTAAACTTTTCCACTGCATTACAGTAGTTAAAAAGATACATTTTAAGCCAACTATTATTTTTACAGGCTTATTTTAAAAAGTTATACATTTTAAAGCTGGACATTCCTAATAAACACATCAGACCCCTAAATAAGGTGCTTCAGAAGCCTTAACTTCTAGGGCATGCAAGTGTCAAGGTTTTCCCATTCCTTCCACAAACCAAAAGACAAGACTGTATTCAAAAACATTAGTGCCCAACAACAAAAAAAAATCTTCCCCTATTATAGAATCATAGAATCGTTAGGGTTGGAAAGGACCTTAAGATCATCCAGTTCCAACCCCCCTGCCGTGGGCAGGGACACCTTACGCTAAATCGTATCACCCAAGGCCTTGTTCAACCTGGTCTTGAACACCACCAGGGATGGAGCATTCACAACCTCCC